TCTACTGCAGAGTTGGTGAGATAATTTACCAATTGAATTTCTTGATTGAAACCAAAGCATGTTCATCGCTTGATCTGGCTAGCCAACCAATCGTGGCCAATATTGGAGCAGTATGCTGGGTGGCTTGATGTAGCAAGCAGGTGATGGTTGACGACCTGCTGTGCGTAAATAACCCTCAACCTTGGTGGCCGCCAAGATTTCAAAAGCCGACCGGAGAAATGAGCTGCCCAGGGATCACAAAGCCCCAGGAAATCGTACGTAGCTTGCAGAATCTCCATTCCCATCCTCACAAAATCAGTCACACGCCTGTTGACAGTTCTATCGGCCCTGGGGATGCATATCTTGGCCCTAGGAGCTCTCTCGCTCCCAGGGGCTTTAGTGCAGTTTTTGGGGGCAAGAAAGCAGCTTCTGGGAGCCACGTAGCCACCTGTGAGGGTCTCACGTATCCGTAGATGAGTGATCAATATTAAAGAAAGCTACAGTCGACTCTAGATACAAGACGTAGCGCGAGGAAGCAAAAGAAAGGTAGCTTCCTCGCGTTCAGGGGAACCGATATGCACCATGTGGGTCCTGCGCAGATCATTTCTCCATCCATCCTTTAGGCTTCATGTATATCCCTGACATATATCCCTGACACTCCTAGAACTGCTTTTGGCGTTTCCAGGATCAATTCGTTGACTCTCAGAATTAGATTAACAGAGTTTTTCGTTTTAATATTGTCAGAGCCTTACCACTAGTAAGCTCTTGGATACACCAGAACTCGCATTTGTGTTTTGTATGGTAAATTGGTTACACTAGCCATTCCGGTGCTGTAATCACCGAGTATCGGCATATCTGAGGAGTATTTCGACCTGCCCTCGATCGCTTGTGTATTCGGGAACCAATCAACTCTTTCATCCTGGAGGGGTTCCGCTTGATGTTATTCGCTCTGGATGCATGCTAGTCTGAACGCTTTTACTTTATTCTGATAAGATATTTAAAGTTGTGGTAGCCTCTACTTTCCTTCGACCGTTCGAATCTAAACGAAACCCATTAGGCCGAGAAGAGATTCGTATTTTAGTTTAGTTGGGAGATCGACTTCGATGAGCAAGGTAAATAAATTACACAAACCCACATCATGTATCGAGATGAACATAGTTCATTTTCATATATAACAATTTATCTTTAAAGTTCACGCAAAACAGCCTTCCAGCAATCAGAATGATCTATCTATCGACAATAAAATCACCTTCAACCCGTAAAAACCCCCATTAAACCAAGATCGCTGCTGTCCTGCATTGGGCCTCCATCTATCGCAAAAACAGGCAGAAGAAGAGGCTTTGGGTGAGATAAAGCGGCCCATTCTCCAGCGCACGACGTCGACTAAAGATAATTCCCAACGCAATAAGGTTTTGCGTTTTTCAAAGCAATTGGGCTCGTGATACATTCAAGTGGAGGGTCCCCTGTATGCTTGTACTCTATCCCGCCATTCTCGAATACCGGTCGGAAGGAAAGGTTTCGGTAAAGCTTTAGTTGCATTTCGTCAAGACGGAGGTCTGGGTGATCTGGGCTGGTGAATATCCAGCAGTTGTTCCCAACAAAGTCCTTGCCTCTATGGTGTTTCCATTCTGGCCTCGGCTTCCAGTCGTGATAGAAAATTTTCTTATCTAGTGCTGACTGAGGCGTGCACAATGGTACGTGATTCAGTTCGAATTTTTTGGTACGGTGCTTTTTCCGAGCTCTGGTAAGAACGTTCAAAACCCTTCCCATGATATCGGTCTGCTTTCTGGAAGAGATATTCCCACCAAAACAGTAGAGATATATCTTTGGCAGATCAAGTTGCTGTCAGTCAAATGCAGTCTTTTTCTTTTTTTAAAGATCATATGTAGGAGGCCAATGCCCCTATTTATGTCTTTCAGAGAGGACATATCATGCCGCTTTCAAGGCTGGAGAAATAAATGCTCTATCAGAACCAGATAAATGTATTTTGAAGCATTTTCTTGCGAATTGAGAATACACATGACAGCATTAGCGATTTTTATGAAGTATCACCTCATAAAAGGCGACATAAATTAGACATCTCACGCCTCATGAAACTTGGAGCAACCTACTATTTTGCGGGCGACACTAAGATCTCAAGAGCGTGAAAGAATATACAACATCAATTGAGTGAGGGTCACACAATCTTGCGCCTTCACATATCTATATATTGATAGATGTTAGTAGCCTGCTATTATCATCGTGCCTCTCGGAATTAACCGTGGAATTCGTAAAGCTGTAGGGTCTCAGATAGATACTGTAACTATCCCAATAGAATTTGAAATGGCACTCTTCCTGCCTCCATTGCTTCCAATGATTTTTACTGCGAACTTTTTGTGAGCGTTCTACAATATTCCAATTGTCAGACTTCTAAGGAGTTCGGTGAAAGGGAAAGGGAAAGCGTTGTCTGATTGAACTAGATATCCTCAACAAGCGTTCATCTCTGACCCTCAAGATCGTGAGGTTCGATGAGTTTCCCGACCAACGAGTCCTAGCCTTCAACACACTGTTAAAACCCCTCCTGAAAATCAACCAAATTTTAGTCAGAATAGAGATTTCATTACGGTATAGGAGATGGTCAAAGAGGCACCACAACCGGATGGCCCCGGGTGGTGTTTCACAGACATGTAACCCACCTTCGCGGTGATTCTGTCGCAGTGTCTGTCAACTAATGGATGCTCAAGAACAGTCGATGTAGGGGACATGGGATCGCAATATAAATCGTAGTTGCTGGCGGGGATTACTGACAAAGGTGCGACAGCTCCCATTTGTAGAAGGACCCGATCGAATATTCTTATGCCAAAAAAATCCTCAGTAACTTAGTTGGCTTTGCTGCGAATCAAATTTAACTATCGCGACCGTTCTAGGATGTAAGCATTCTACAGTAGAGTAGGATTGAGTGCCTTGCAAGCCGCCAGAAGCGATAGATTTGACTACACGAGGAACAGTATATCGCATCACCATAATTATTTGAGCCAACAAACCGTATTTCGAGCGCTTCTCATCAGATACTTCTACACCTGGTTAGTCTGACCTTGAGCGTATTGCCTGATTATAGCTGAACCAATGGAGGGAAATCCGGTGTTTGCATTCGACCAGCTCAATCGAAATGGAGGCCGTGTGCCAACTTCACCGAGTGATCAGCTGGGGACAAATGACGCGAAATTGGAACAATGCAAAGTGTTGTGATATGAGGCTGGTGCAGATCAGGAACCAAGCCGCACTGTCGGAATTAGCTCCGAAGTGTCCATGCAAACGAGCAAGTTGATTGGAAATCAACTTGGCTCATCATTGTATATATAGGCTCATGTATCCTTTTGAGATAATAAGTCAATTTATAGCTCTGAGCTACAACAGTCATGAGGAAGGGACAGATAGCTTGCAATCGCAACAGTATAGGAGAGCTCGAGCCGACAAGATCGTTCGCATCGCATTCGACTCGAGTGACGGGGATATAAGGGGCGCTGTTGTACGACCCGAGTCAAGCTTACCACTGTTGCCAAAGGGAATGTGACCGAGCTTTGTGTGAAAAGAGTGTCTCCAGGCTATCAAAGATCTCTTGGGTCCAACACCGGCCACGATCGGCTGGCAAGCCAGGCAGACCAAGCAAGCCAGATGTTTTGAACCCATCAAAATGGTCATCTGTTATTTATATCCCTGCTATGCAGTCAATCTTTGACCTTTACATGAGCTTCATGGTCGTACCTCTCTGACGCTTTTGAAATCCAAATCTGTCCATTTTTGCACGCCAGCACCACTTGAACCACCTTAATAAAATTCCTCGCTGACTCTGTGTCGATAGCAATAAATTGAATGTAAGCCGGAGCCGCCAGTTGAACTAATTTTGCTTTTGATTTTTCTTTCTTGTAGAAATATTGACTCGCGTGCTCTGATGCTGACCGTGCAAGCTCTCAAGGGCAAGTTCAAAATGAAACTAGACTTGCTACAATCACCATGTGCACGAGCATGTCGACCGTCAGTGGAAGACCAACCACAAACCGAAGACCGACCACATTACGGTGAGAGACATAGAGCGAAACGCATCTGGCCTACAGTAATGTTGTTTGAAAGACAGTAAGCTCAGTAACTCGGCTTGAATTCAGGCAGGCTTTGACTACTTAGCACTCGGTATCCATTTCCGCAGACGTCCATCTCAGCAATAATGAGATGGTTCTAAGTAGAAGCCCTATTTGGAGGCGATGATGCGGTATTCATGGACTGGATGAGTTGACGCATAACCACATCAGTGCACACGGCGGACGAAAACTGTAACGGACTCGACGGCGTGCATGAAGAGATACTATGAACACACACCTGGAAGCATTTGCTCTACAGCTTCTACCGGTGTGACCCGCTGACAATAGCGACTTGAGGTGGCATCTGTGGCCCTATAAGATCCAAGGCTGTGGGAATTGAGGCCCGGAAGAACACCGTTGGGATCTCATGTACAGCTGGAATGCGCGAAAGTAGACCATCTACAAGTTGCGTGTTAATGCGCTGTAGCTATGTGAATAAAGTAGCTATTCGTCAGTCTGGCGGCAAGTATAGTTTGGTCAAATGATCCATCGGAAATAGATGTGCACTGGCTCCTGGGAGCTTTCAGGTGGACACTCGGAGATTGCGAAAATTACGATGGGATTTGCAGCGTCATATCGTATTCACGGAGCAAAGCGCCGAGACAATGAGAGCACAAAACTCAGTTCTTCAGGCCACGTGCTCGGCCATTCAAGACGATCATCGCGCCAATAAAATCCTCGGATCGAGAAATTTTCCTCCTGTGTCGCAAGTCTTCTGTAATTTCGAATTTTGAAGATCCCAGGAACCACATAAAGTTGTCGGCAGGTCATGTGAGCTCTCGGGTGAATACTATTGCCGGGAGCCGGGATCAGCTGACGTGCGTCAACAGTACCAAACCGCCGACCGGGACCTAGCGTGTCATAACTGTCTTAGGAACTCGTTTTTATCAGTTTATCTACAATTACATGGCCAATTCTAATATTCCGGACTACCAAACTCTCTATCTGCAGGCGGAAGAGGGACGGAGGCGGGCAGAAGAGCGCGAGCAAAAGGAAGCAGAAGGGAGGCGACAGGCAGAAGAGCGCGAGCAAAAGGAAGCAGAAGGGAGGCGACAGGCAGAAGAGCGCACCCGACAGACCACCTTTACCGAGCTCATTCAGCACTGCCATGTCCTTCTCTCCCGATCATTGAGAGTTGATTCACCATCTCGCTCAACAACTGGAAAAATACCTCTCCCCAAAGGAAAATACTGCCCGGCTCGATTGGAACACTGGACCGACTGTCCAAAACAGCTCTCGGAAGTCTACAAGTCCGTGTGCCAACATCTTTGCCCGGAGCGGGAACCGCCGGCTCGCCTATTTTCGTCTCTAGCTGAGATAGAAGGGCTTGGCCGTCGATTTGCTCGCAGCCCATTGAGCAGCGAGCAACAACTTGAGGCCTACGAGCGATTTGGCGTTGAAGAACATGTTCATGATATTATAGCCGAGCTTTGCAAACTGCCAGCCGCTCGTGAGGAGTTCCAGCTTGGAGACGGAATCCAGTTCAGCAATCATAAGAATTTCCTGAACGAAGATGAAGCCGCGGAGGTTGAAGCAAACGAGCTTCCCAGTACAAGTCAACCGCGGCCTGACCAGTTCTGCATCAACCGCGTCGACGGTGCCTCGACCACCATTCTGACGACTGTCGAGTACAAGCCACCTCACAAGCTGTCTTCTGCAATCATACGCATGGGACTTCGACCAATGGACCTCTGGAAGGATATTGTCCGAGCCAATAAGACATCAACCGACCAGGAAGAAAAGGTGAGACACAAGGCGGAACGACTCGTCTGCTCCGCCATTTCTCAGGAATACCATGTGATGATTGAAGAAGGACTTGAATATTCATATCTGACAAATGGGCTTACCCGCGTTCTGCTCCGTGTTCCGCTCGACCGGCCCAGCACGCTCTACTACTTTCTCTGTGATCCTCACAGCGAAATGACTCCAGAAAGTGATATGGCTTCCCTCCTATGGAGATCTTCTGTTGCGAGGGCACTGTGTCTTTGTTTGATGGCGTTTCGTTCATTTCCCCGAGGGCAAGAATGGAGAAATCGAGCGTACCCATTTCTTCACAAATGGGAAACAAGCTTCGACCGCACGCGCTCACAAATCCCAGGACAAGAGTTGCAGCAAATTCCTCACTCCGATAGCACCAACCCCGAATTTCCGAGTCCAGATACTGGCTCATCCTATTCACCGCCATCGTCATCTCCGTTACCAGCGCCCTCAGAGAGCCGTCGAATTCCTACGCGATCTCAAACGAGCTGTGCGCCTTCGGAGGTTCGACCGCGGTCGAAGTCACCTGGATCTTCCGGCTCCGACACCAATCAAGCAGCCGGCCATAAGCGGAGGATCAGTCAGGTCACGTCTTCACCGTCCGCTCGGCGATCAGGCCGTCAGCATAGGGCAGGGCAGGGCCAAGACGATTATTCCCAGCGCCGCGCCGCGCAATTCTGCACTCAGCGGTGCTTGCTTGGCTTGCGGACCAAAAATTATTTGGATGAGCTGTGTCCAAACGTGGATCATCATCGCCGAGGCCAGGCCGATCCGACTCAGCATCCAATATCGGCCGAGGACTTGATGCTCTCATTGAAGAACCAGCTGGACGAAGACATGGACCGTTGCATATCTTTTGGTGATTGCGGCTCATACGGCGCTCCATTTAAACTGACATGCATGAAATACGGCTACACGGTTATCGGGAAAGGCACCACTGCGGGGTTGTGGAAAGAAGTTTCCCGCGAAGCGGAGGTGTATCGAGTGCTCCACCAGGCCCAAGGATCTGCTGTGCCAGTTTTCTTGGGTACCATTGACTTGGCAAAAATATATTTTCTTCATGGCGCACGAATTCGCCACATGCTCGTCATGGGTTGGGGGGGTGAGTGTACTACGACGATGGAGCTGACGCAACAGCTTTGCCGCGAGATTCACAAGTCGAACAAGGAGATCAAATCTCTCGGGATAATACATGACGACCTGAGGCAAGAAAATGTTCTTTGGAATGAAGAGCTCCGGCGTGCTTTGATCATCGACTTTCACCGTTCTACTCTGAGATGCCGACCGTCGAAGCCGCGACGGGGTGCCGCAAAACGACGACCGCGTCAAGTGGGGACAAGAGATGCAAAACGTCTTCGTGTGTCATGAGAGGAATGCTCTCTTTCGGCCTGTGAGCACTAACTGATAGAATGATCGAATTTTTAAAAATCAGTTGAACAACTTCAGTCGGGCAATCGAGCTCTGTTTAAATACGACTGAGTGTTCTTACAATGCTGCAATCACATAATGCAGCCGAGTCATGTTGGAAATGCGCCTACGGAATGAAAACTCACGACTGTTCCCAGTCAGAAAATTTTGGTTTGTGATAATTATGACATTTAAGAGAGCGGGCGCAGAATTTCTGCGACGCCGGTTTAGTGGTTTGGCACGGTCTTCAGCAAGCTATAGAAATGAACCTACTCATGTCACCCTATTTACAATAAAAGAGCCGTAAGCCCTAGGCAATGTCTCGCGGCAAGGTAGCAAGAAGCCAATTGAAAATGTCAAGCCGTCTGCGGATCACGGCCCGGGCTAACGGGCTGACACCTTGACGATCAGGGACGTTGGTCTGAACCCGCGGAAATTTTGCGAGAAGGCAAAGCAACTGCCAGTTGAAGGTGTTCACTGCGTGCCAGAGGGCCGAACGACCGGAATAATCAAGCGATTCGGCTCGAATGTCTTCGTGCGACAACAGTGAATCAAGTATCCGTTTGCTATTGGGCTGATCACAGCCGTGGATCTTGGCGGCCAGTAGAAGTGCAGTATCGCCGTTGCTGTCTCGAGCATTGATGTCGACATTTTTGTGCTTCAGCACAATTTTGATCGCCGTCACATCGTCGTAAATCACGGCTAGGTGGAGAAGAGTATGCCCACTCTTATCTGTAACGTTCACGTTGGTATGTGGATCGCAGAGGAGCGATTGCAAGATCTCGTGCTGTCGATATTCCATAGCCACCAAAATTGGTCGTTGGTTGCTCCAATCTGGATCGTTGACGCATGCAGCAAAGCGCTTCATCAGGTGTCGGACGACGCAGCTCTTGCCCTGTATGATGGCCAAGGTGAGCGCATTTGGGGCCCGGCGAGAGCACGACGCGAGCACACGGTCGTGCTGCATCAGCCAATCAACCACCTCCAGACTGTCTTTTTCAGTCGTAGGCGGGGGTTTGCAGCATAGGCAGTACTCAAAACTCGGAGGGAGCTCATGGTTGTACATGTCCATCTGAATTTTTGAGCTGGTACACTTTTGACGGACATGATGCTTTGAGCAAGATGCTGGACAATTGTTGAGATGGCTGTAGATGGGGACAGCGTCAGGAACAGAAATGAGGAGACTGGTAATGGATACGATGATAGCATAGTCCCTCTTTATACCTAGATAATTCTATTTGTATATGTCAGTTTTCAGGAATATCCTCAGCATTCTCGATCATCAGGATCACATTGGCGAAGATGAAGTGACACGCATTCCTATGGAGGGTATCTAGTTCATATCCCAAACCCGAGATGGAGGCGAGAATGAACAGGGACAGGACATGATCTCGATCAAAGAATAGCCGTCGAATACTTGCAAAGTGATGATGAGACAGGCGGTCAAGGTATACTATCCATCAGTGCAGCGTTCATGGCTATGCTGTGGAATGGAGGACGGAGGTTGTGTTCCTAATTGTTCTACGCACCGTAGCATTGAAACAAGATCGGCGCCACTATCCCAAAGAGACCTCACATGGATCTTCGAACCCTTGAATGGCCCTAGGATCTCGGTGAAACGTTCCAGGGGTGCTGTAGCTCCCAGGACTAGTGTGCAGGGTTGCTAGGCAGGATTGTCACAGATATACATGAAGTTTACGGGATATCTAGAGAAATGATCTACGGGGCCCACGCTGTCCATGTGGATCCAGGAATCCACTATTCTGCTGCTTACTCGCACGATGTCTTGTGTTTAGGGTAGACGATAGCTTTCTTCATATTGACAGTCCATAGATGTATACGCAGAATTCTCACAAACATGCCTAGCAGCCATTATATGGATCTCAGGGTCGGATATGATGCTAGGAACGTGTAGCCTGCGAGAAGCTAAGCGGGGCTCAAAACGCGGGCAACCATAGCGG